TTAGACATTGCATTTCTTAGGTTTCAGGAATCCACATAACTGCCAAGTCAAATCGTTCAACATCTCTCCATGTTGAAACCCTTCTTCCCCAGTCTCCTACGCCGCAGCCGTTATTTGAACCTTACTTAGCAGCCGCAGAGGAGACTAGCCTTGTCCTAAGGCGGAAACTGGTAGCTGCATGTGCACTGCATGCGCCCGGTGATATTATTTCTCCTGACGGCTCTATTCTCCCAGAGGAGAGTTAGGAACTAAGAAGAAGGAAGAAGTTGTTGAAAACTTTAAATCCATTAGATGTTGGCCGGTTTCTGTTCAAGGCCCAACTGCTACTTTGCATTTCTTTTGCCCTGAATATGCATGCAAGGAAGGTTAGATACTAAGAATTACGGAACGAAACAAAAAGCGGTCATCTTTTAGCTACGAATCTTTCAAGGCTGCATTATCTCAACTTCCTTTTTTCTTACCGTAAGACACTCGTTTATGTCCACACAACGCGTGGAATCACTACTGTCCATCACAAAGCCCGAGTTGCAGGAGCATCTGAGGAAAAAAAAAATTAATAAGTGACCCACGACGAAAGAGGATGGTTTCCATACGATGCACGTTATAATATCCAATTAAACAATATAGAGCACTTTTTCGTGGTTACATAGCCACATCTAAACACGAAGCGGGTCTGGAGAATTCAAGACAGTCATGCAAACCAGAGACGCAGTTAAGGGTGTGCATAAGTTTCGAGAGTTCTCCAATCTCCCTAAGTGTCTGGATAAGGCTATGTAGAGGGTCATACAGGGGTTTCTCGTGACGAGTGATTAGCTGATGTTTTATTCCCTGAAACGTGAATTTNACGATGCAAGTTATAATATCCAATTAAACAATATAGAGCACTTTTTCGTGGTTACATAGCCACGTCTAAACTCGAAGGGGGTCTGGAGAATTCAAGTCAGTCATGCAAACCAGAGACGCAGTTAAGGGTGTGCATAAGTTTCGAAAGTTCTCCAATCTACCCAAGTGTCTGGATAAGGCTATGTAGAGGGTCATATAGGGGTATTCTCGTGATGCGTGATTAGCTGATGTTATATTCCCTGAAGCGTGAATTTAAGAAATTATTCTTCGTGATCTGCGACCTGAAGTTTTAGCGTGACCCGTGAAGAACTTGAATTACTAAACCGATATTCACCACTCAAGTTTACTTCTCGGTGTTTGGATATCCCGATGAAACACTGTCTCTTGTGTTTGATATATTACTTGAAGGGCTATAATACATGTACAAGTCACTTACGCATAACTTCCAGGGTTGTTTGTGCAGACCTGTTCACATCCTCCGTTATTTGTCTGGCACTCGTTTATATCTGAAAACGAAGATCGAATAGCAGACGATATTATTGGCTCTTATTTGTTATCAGAAGTTTTTATCGAACGTTAAGTTAATATTTCTTCACCTCATTTTCCCTCTAGTTAATAAAGTTGAATAAAACATCAAAATAAATTACCTGCAAGTACAGTGGAATCCACCCTAACAACCACCCTGTTTTTTACGGTCTTTTTTCTTTTCTTTTCTTTTTTTTTTTCGCCGAAGAAAACGGTTAAAGTCATTCTCGTACTTTATGAACCTCTTTTGGCGCCCTCCAAACTAGGCCGGAGAAATTTGAAAACGCAGCTTTATTTCTATGGTTAGGCCTATCGTCCGCACTAATCTGTCACGAAAACGGAGCTTTTCGAAAACGCTCTTCAAACCGGAGGAATTAGAAAACGCGGGCTTTACGTTTTCGTGTGGAAGGATAACATCTTGAAAACGGAGTTTTTCGAACACGATGACGCCACGATAATCATGTGATTTCCCTGATCGAGTTTTAATTTCCTCAAACACAAATCCAAAATGACCGCTGATCATGGCGTTTTGAAATCTCTCCGGCGTAGCGTGAACGGAAAACATTTGACGCGTTTTCAGATTGAAAACGCTGAGTTCAAATTTTTCTGACGTAGCGTAGACGGGGCCTGTACGGTCCATATTTAGTCTTATTGACAGGATTTCATTGCACGTTAAGAGGTCTGTTGGGAACCTTGTACATCTCTTGCTGTGGGACTTACCTAAACAGGTGCAGTTACTAATGGCCGCGTATCCCTGGTAACAAGTGCAGTTGTAACCTCCTTCTGTGTTGGCACAGTCTTGGTTACAACACGCAGTGTTTAGCAGACATTCGTCGATATCTGATGGCAAAGGAATGAAGAGACGATTA